CCCAGGAAACCCTAATATGAAATAGGTGAACATGCAACTGGATGAAAAGATGTATAAAGGAGCATATAACCAACCAGGCTGCCAGAATTACTGAAGGAAAAGGATACCAAGGTATACCATACTGGGCTATCTGAATTGGGAGTTTGAAGAGTCTGTTGAATTCTGAGTTGAATAGTAGAGAGATGAAAAGAAGAAGTTGGAAAGATAGATACTGGAATTTGGATAAACTTTACAAGAGTAGAAATAGTGTAATGTAGTAGTTAAACAGGTAATACCTATAACTGCAAGTGTTAGGTAACTATAGTATGTTACATAAAACTAGATCAGCTGTGTATGGGATATAGAAGGCTCTAGTAATGATGCTTCTAAGAATACACTGCATGAAATAAGATATGAGGTCCTAAGAGAAATGAGTGAAAGTATTTAAACCTTCTTGATTGACAACTGTATTAAAGATGATCTAATGACACAGTAAGAATTGCAGCACAGAGGATTTAAATAAGCAATGCTTCTAGTTGGGTTGCAGGTATAGCAGCTAGTGTAGAACTATTGGCAGACTACTTAAATTAGACACCAAAAGTATACATATAACTAGTTATACTCTCTAATATAAGATGACTTCTTTGAGACTTCGGCTATGAGTCTCTATATCCAATTTACTGAATAAAACTCTAGACCCAAAAAAGGCTAGTTTAATAGAAAAAAAATAAAATAAAATAATTAATTCAAATTATATATATTTTTTATTAATATATTTAACAACCAAAATTTGGTTTTATAAAGATATTTATTAGTTAATTAGATATTATATAAAATCTCAAAATCTAATTGGCTGGTTCAAAGCCATCTTTTGTTATAAGCATCTTCAAGTATAAAATAAATGCAGACAAATAAGATACAAGATTGGTTAAAAAAAAAGATAGTATTATAAGTAAAAGAATAATTAATATTAACTACAAATAAGCTAATAGCAATATAAATAGCAATTTTAATAATATTAAAAAAGAAAAAATTAAAAATATTTATAAACAGTAATGCTACAATAAAGAATATTAGTAAAAGTTTAGAATATACAAACAAAAATAAAATTCTTAAAAAAAAAAATATGTTATAGATAGTAAAGATAATTAACTTGAATAGTATAAAAAATATACAAATAGAATAGTTTAAGATAAAAAATTATAGCAAAAACAAATAAATTAATAAAGCTAATAGTTTTGTAAAAAAAAAATTATTAAACAAAAGATAATATATATAAAAAAAATTAGTTATAAAAAAATAAAAGACATGTAATTATAAACAAACTAAAAAAACTAGTCTAGAATAAAGCCAAATAATGATATAAATAAAAATAGAAGAATTAATGACTTTGAAATTGATAAGTGAAAGGACAAAGACAGAACTGAAACTTATAGATAATAAAGAATTAGAATAAAAATTAGCAAATAGAGACAATTATTTTAATATAAAAGATATAGTAGTAGCAGCACTATAGAAGACAGATTTAATAAAAACAGTAATACTAAGAAAAATATATAAAACAATAATTAAAATAAATATGAAAGACTTATTAAATATAAAAAAATAGACAAAAGAATTAAATTACACAAGTCAATACTCACTAGCAATGCAAAACATGAAAAGCAAAAAAGATCAAATTATACCAAAAAATAAATTATTATATCAGAAATGTATATAAAAAAATAAGACAAAAGACAGAAACAGTAGATATAGTGATGAATAAAAAAGAACCATAACAGAATACAAGTATAGAAGAAAGAAAAAGACAAAAAAGAAGAAAAATCAAAGAAGTCATAAATATAGAAATAACAAGTATAGTAATTTAAGCAATAATAACAGAAGATTATATAAAAGAAGAAATTAGAGCCTTAAAAACAAATATTATATAACAAGATTACCAAAATATAATTACAGCAATTAGAGACCAAGAAGGAAATGAAAAAAATGAAAAAAATGAAATTTATAAAGCAGAACAATAAAAAAATAAAAGTAATTTTATAGAAATGTTATTAGAACAAAGCATATAATTACTATCAAACAAAGATTATAGTAGTAAGAAAAATATGTAACAAAAATTCTAGTATTCAATATATTAGATAGCTTACAAGAAGAAAGAATAAAGGTTGTTAACAGATTATTAGTATCTAACAAACATGTTAAAGATGTTAAAGAGCTGTTCAAAAGAGACAACACTTAGATTATAGTTATATTTGATTATAAATATAACAGAGAAGAAGCAATTAGCAAAATTTAAAGAAAACACAATGATTAGTTTAGAATAATCCTAAATACAGAAGAATCAGAAAAAGATAAAAATAAAAAAAGAGAAATCAGAGCAAAAAGATAAAAAAAAAAAGAGAAGAAAACATAAAGAAGAACCGAAAAGTAGAAGACAAAATCTACAATCAAGAAAAAACAGAAATAGATAAAAAAATTAAAAATACAGTAATACTAATAATATAAGATTTGTTAAAAGAGATTTTAGAATATAAAGTCAAGTATTTGGTAAGAAAGATAGACAGAGTTGCAACTTATAAAATTAAAAGTATATACAGAACAACAGCAATAATAAAGATAAAAAAAGAAAAATAACAAGTATTTTTATAAATAATTTCTTTAAGAAATAGAAAATTGGTAAGAATAACAACAGGTAAAGAGAAAAAGAAAAAGAAAAAAAAAAGAAATCAATTTATGACAAGACTAAAAAAAATATCAAAAGAAATCTTTGAATTAATTCTACTATGAGAACTCAAAATTAGAAAAGCAATAGCAGTATACATTCTATTAAATAAATAGAAGACCAAAAAACTATACAGTAGTATTATTCAAAAACCAAACAGATTTAAATACAATAACTAAGAAAAAAATTTGATACAATGGAATTTCAATGTTCTGAAAGGTCAAAACAAAAAAAGTAGATGAAAGCTTGATGGAAATAACAGTAAAACACAAAAGATATGAAGGAAAAAAGCAATAGAAAATATTAATTCAAAGAAAAAACATATAAGTATAGAAGAGCTTACAATCTAAAATAAATATAACATGAAGTCAAAAGATAGAAGAAATAAATGAAAGAACAAAAGTAATTAGAACAAAAAAAGAGACAAGAAAGACTTTAATACTATAATTTAAAAACAAAAAAGATCAAAAGAAGAAACTAAAAACATAAAGAATATAGAAATAAGTGATAGATATAGAGGACTTACTAGACCAAATACTAAAAAAATTAGAAAAACTGGAGATAGTAAGAAAGAAGACATAAAAGACCTAATCTGATTGTTTTTAAAAATATCACAATTGAACTAATAAGAATAGATAAAGAACTTGAGAATTTTTTGTAAAGAGAAAAAGAAGTATTTAAAGAAAGAACAACATCTTCTTATTAAAAAGAAAAGATAAGTAGTAAAAGAAAAGAAAAAATAATTAATATAAAAATATTATAAAACTAATTAAAAGAAAAGTGAAAAGAAGAGAAAAAAAAAATAAGAATTGTATATTATAATATTAATAGATTAAAAACCAAAGCTTAAAAGCTTAAAATCTGCTTGGCTGAATAGAAAAAGAAGAAATTACAATATTGAGAATTATAGAAATGAATCTTATAAAAAAAAAAAGAAAATTTTTAATATATAAAACAACAAACAAATATATTAAATATTAGAATAGTATAATAAAGAACAAAAAAAAAGGTTCAGATATAAGAGTTCTGATAAAAGAACATAGACAAAATATATAGATGCTGTCAAAAAGATAAATGAATATATAATAGAAATTATATTATACTTTAAGCAAATGAAGTTAATAGTAATAGGAGTCTATATACTACCAAGTGACAAAGAAGTAAGAAAAAGTATTTAATAAAAAATAGTAGAAATTGTTGTAAAGAAAAATAGACAAGTGCAAATAGTGATTATGAAAGACTTTAATTACATAGTGGACAATTTTTTATATAACTATCTAAAATCTAATCTAACTTTAATATAAGATAACTCTAACTTTAAAATTAATTTAATAAAATATATTATAAAAATCTATTTTGCTTTAAATATTTTCTTATATAATAAATAAAATATTATGTTTTTTTATTTTTTTAAAAAAAAATCTATAATAAACAATTGAAAAATATTCATATCTTATAATTTATTAAACCAATTTTGATGATTTTATTACCATTAGAATTAGAAAAATTAACTTTACAACTTTTATTATAAATAAATTTTCAAATTTGTTTATTATAACAATTTACCACTTAATAAAATTTCTTTACTATAAGCCAATCTTCAATATATCGAAAGTTTATTATAACGAGTTTAACTTGTAACAAACTTTTTTGTTAAATATTGTCAAAATAGGTTCTTTTAATATAAAACATCCCATATACCAGTGCGAATAACCTTGTCATAGTACCTATGAAATAAAATGGGTTATTATATAAATAACCTTTATAGTGTAATATTAGTAGATCAAGAATTTTATATACAAGTACACAAGAACGACTTGTATTACACTAGATATATCGTAATTCTGTTTTTTAAATTTAGATTCTGTTGGTTAAGGAATCACGAAATTAAATTATTTATATTATATAATTAAACTTTTTTTTTTTTATTACATGACATAATTGGACTATAACAATGAGAGAAATTAACGTTTTTAGTGTATCCTAATCTAAATCGAGTTTATGCGTAACTTAATAAACAAACAAAACACATCATGAAATCATGAGACATATAAAAAATATAGAAACGCGACTTTTTTTTATAGATCATTTATTTGAATAATGTTTTGAATGTTTCGAAAACAATATACCGACCGATAACGATTTTGTAAAGTTGACAAAGTAGAAAAAAACGTAGGTTTTTTAAAGAATTTGAAGACATTTAAAGGTTATAGAATGACAAATTGTTAAAGTTATCTATTTATTATCGCTATTACTTATTATTCTTGGCTTTTTTTTTTTATAAAGTATCAAAATAGAGATGTCACCAACGTTTCCACCTGAAACACTTCATCAAATATTCAAAGAACTTTCATATAGGGATTTACGAAATTGTGTATTGGTTAATCATACATGGAGTTTAAGCGCAATACGATTACTTTGGAAAAATCCATTTGCGTTTCGATATAATGGACAAAAAAACTATCGTCATGTTGCAGGAAAAGGCAAACGTATTGAATGGTACGAGGATAGTAAACGATCACTTGTTGACACATATATATGGTGTTTAAGTGATGAATCTAAGAATTCAATTAAGGATTCAGGAGTTGAAATACCTAATCGTATGACTCAAAGACGACCAACTTTCAACTATCCATCGATTTTAACAACGCTTAACTTTATCTACCTCAGTGACATTATTGGATTTTGGCTTCCAACCATGACAGTTTCAGATTTTCCTTATTATGTAACTTTTAGAGAATTATGCAAAATGTTTATGACGAATTCACCTAGATTAAAGGTATTGGAATTTAGTGATACTAAAGCAGCAGAACTTAAGTTTAGAAAGGTTAGCATATTGCCACTCACTTGTTATGCACCTGGAGCAAACGATTTCTTTTCTAGAATTATTAAAATTTCATGTAACGGTAATTTACATTTATAGATTATTTATAATAAATAAATATATATGTATATGTAGATTTTTTTTTTTTAGGTATAATAATTTTAATCTTTATAACTAATTATTATTATTATTTATTTATTTTTTTTTTATATACGTGTTAGCTATTCTCCAAAATGAAATTCTTTACGAGTTGGCATTAGTTGCACAAAATATAGAGGAAATGAATCTTCAAGATTGCAATAAAAATAAAGATGCGATGGCAAAATTTATTCAATCACAAAACAAATTAAAAAGGATTGAAATTGAAATTAATGGACCACCAACATTTTATTTGGCCATTCAACGAGCATTGGAAAGTAAAGCACCTTACCTTACACACCTTTCGATCATTCATAAAGGATATTCATATGATTCATTTCGGTATTCACTTTCATGGTTAGTTAAATGTGAAAATTTACAAGAATTAAAGTTACATAGTAAAACAGGATTTTATGAAAATTCATATTTACATCAAGCATCATTGAAAACTTTTAAAAGTTTAAAAAAATTGGAATTTGTTCTTAATAATCTTAATTTAGATCATGTTTCAATGATTAGAAAAACCGAAAATCGGTTAAACAAACTCAAATTAATTTGGACACGAGTTAATTCACAAGACATTATTCAAATTACACCAATTTTATTTACTACAATCAATCAAACATGTATAAATTTGATTGAATTAGAATTAACAGTTTCACCGATAGCGTTGAGATTAATGACGGAATTGTTTTGCAATTGTCAATTACTTGAAGAGGTCAAATTACATGATGGTAGAGTAAGAATTTTAGGAGAAACAGAAATATTAGATATTTCAGAACACTTAATTGATTGGGGAGGAGAAATACCACGAAATTTACGAAAGTTAATATTCAGGGGCGATTGGTCATTCACTTTTAACGCATTTCGACATTTTATGGAAGGTTGTGATATAAGATTGGTTGATAAAAAGCTTTTATTTTTATTTGAAGCTTTTGATTCATGTTTAATTTCAAGATGGTTGGGAGTCGTACTTGATTGTTATATATCAGGTGGAAAGTTGAATAAAAACAGCGGTTTCAGATTTGTTTAGTCAAAAAGTCTAGGTATTTTTTGGTTATGTTTATTAGGTTTATTATACGTAGAAAATTATTACCCATTATCCGTTATTTGCATAACCTAATAATTATATAAATTGTAAAAGTTTTTTTTTTTTTTTTTTTTGTTTACGATAATAAGTATTCAATATTCATGGTATAAATTACATTATTTTGTTTGATTACTACTGATTATTGATTACTTTCCTATATGAAAATTGTTTTTCGTTTAGAATATGCATATATACATACATACATATATATATATATATACTTTTATGATAGATAAACGATAATGATAAAGATATTTGTTGATATATATAAAAATGGTTGTAATTTATAATGACCAAGTACGAAGAAAAATTTAATTAAATGTTAACAGTTAAACGAATTATACAAAATGGGATGATATTTATTTGAGAAAAAAAAAAAAAAAATTATATATCTTCTTCCCAAAGCCAGAAAAAACCAGCATTTTCAATATTTACACCGTTTATCCAACATCTACCAATAATTCCAAAAGCAGTCATAAAACCACAAAAATTCCAAACTTTATTACCAACAAAATTTACCCTTCTACCTTTATCGATTGGAATAGATTCACCTTCAATAATAAATTCTTTACCATTATCATCAGTTAATAAACCATCTAAAATGTAATACTTTGCATTATCAACATAATTTGAATCAACTTTTTCAACAAGATATTCATAACCTTCTTCATTATGTTCTGCAACGACTTCAAGTTCCATAAAATTAAAATCACCTAATAATAACTTTTCAACGGTTAAAATTTCACTATCGCTGACTAAACCAGTCCAATACCTTTGAGGACTTTTAGGCCAATCATAACCATCATTTCGGAGACACCATAAAATCTTATTTGAAGAATATATCTTAAAAAATTCGAATTATAATAATTAATAAAGTTGAAAAAAAGAAAAAGATATATACATAGTAATTGAAATATTATAATAATTGAAATATTATAATAATTGAAATATTATAATAATTGAAATATTATAATAATTGAAA